GTATAGATATATATATATATATATATATATATATATATATATCAGTGTATGTCAATTTATCTCATCGGCGTGATCTAAAAAGAGGCACACTTATATATCCTTTGTCCATTTTTCTGGGTCTGGTCGTTGTCTTCCTTTTGATAGATAAGGCAAGAAAACTAAGTGTCCAATTATGAAGTTTGTGATGAACAATTCTGAAGTATATCTTGATCAACTGTGTTACAAAAAGAAATAAATATACAATTCAACCGAAAATACTATGGTTAGCAATATTAAACAATGAAAAGAGATAATCATAATATTACATATATATATATATATATTTATATAATTTGTTCGTGTATCAGAAAATAAGAAATAAATCTAGTTAATTATTCCTTCCGTTTCATAATAATTCACGTTTTAACTTTTTTTACAATTTTTTAAAGACGGTAACAAAGTTATACTCTTATTTTTAAAGGTAAAATATAATTAATATTCATTAAATTTATTAGAATTGATTAGTTTTAATTAAAGATAAAATTGGAAATTATCTAGAAAATCTAAAATGACAATTATTTTCAAACAAAATTTTTTTGTCTATAATGTCAATTATTAAGAAAAATAGGAAGTATAAATCTAATATTTTTATATTAAAAATGTAATAAAAATATAAAATTAGAAACAACTATTTAATATTTTATAAAATGATAACATTTCTCTATTTAAAAAATGACTAATATTTGAACGAGAGGTAAGGATTTTCTAAAAAACAATCTAGTTTAAAATATTGTAATGTATTATTTTATTTGTTTTTATACTTATTCAGAAATTTAAGGTAATAAACAAAAAATGTTAAATGATAATTAGTATTTTTGAATCTATAACAGTAAAGAAAAGTCTGAATCCATTAAAATTAATTATAATAATTTTGGAAAACTATTACAAATTAAAATTAATTATAATTAGCTGTGATCTTACCAAATGATCCATATTCTTTGTCTCTGTAACTGGTATTACTAATCGAAGTCTAAAGATTCTAATACTAGAATCTCAAAGAATCATGCACATATTTAAGTGGTTAATTAATGAAAATCACGTAGTTATATATATATATATATATTATACCTTTATATATATATGTATACATATTGATTAACCATTGCATATTCATGTATGCCTTTTCTGTGTGTTTTCCTATTATGGCGATAAATTAACAACTACATAACAAATTTGATAATAACTCAATTAATTGTATCCGGTCCAGTAACTATTTTCAAATATATAATTCGTACAAAAAAGCATGATACACACATTATTTCGGACCAAAAAAAGAAAAATCAATATCATTTATACTAAAGAATTAAAATTAACTTTGACAACCCCTAATAAAGATACATGCATTGCATACATACATAGATACATGTCATGCACGCATGTAAAATCAGACTAGAACCGCTGTTTAGTTTAACACTTTAACTATGACCGGATATTATGGTTTATTTGGTCAAATATATAAATCTATAAATATCCGCCACCTTGAGATCCCTTTAGACATTAATTATAAATATCCGCATGGATTCTGCTCCACATTCGGCTCAGTGAATCGGATCAGAGAATTTGTGTCCAATGAAAAGAGATAATCATAATATTACATATATATATATATATATTTATATAATTTGTTCGTGTATCAGAAAATAAGAAATAAATCTAGTTAATTATTCCTTCCGTTTCATAATAATTCACGTTTTAACTTTTTTTACAATTTTTTAAAGACGGTAACAAAGTTATACTCTTATTTTTAAAGGTAAAATATAATTAATATTCATTAAATTTATTAGAATTGATTAGTTTTAATTAAAGATAAAATTGGAAATTATCTAGAAAATCTAAAATGACAATTATTTTCAAACAAAATTTTTTTGTCTATAATGTCAATTATTAAGAAAAATAGGAAGTATAAATCTAATATTTTTATATTAAAAATGTAATAAAAATATAAAATTAGAAACAACTATTTAATATTTTATAAAATGATAACATTTCTCTATTTAAAAAATGACTAATATTTGAACGAGAGGTAAGGATTTTCTAAAAAACAATCTAGTTTAAAATATTGTAATGTATTATTTTATTTGTTTTTATACTTATTCAGAAATTTAAGGTAATAAACAAAAAATGTTAAATGATAATTAGTATTTTTGAATCTATAACAGTAAAGAAAAGTCTGAATCCATTAAAATTAATTATAATAATTTTGGAAAACTATTACAAATTAAAATTAATTATAATTAGCTGTGATCTTACCAAATGATCCATATTCTTTGTCTCTGTAACTGGTATTACTAATCGAAGTCTAAAGATTCTAATACTAGAATCTCAAAGAATCATGCACATATTTAAGTGGTTAATTAATGAAAATCACGTAGTTATATATATATATATATATTATACCTTTATATATATATGTATACATATTGATTAACCATTGCATATTCATGTATGCCTTTTCTGTGTGTTTTCCTATTATGGCGATAAATTAACAACTACATAACAAATTTGATAATAACTCAATTAATTGTATCCGGTCCAGTAACTATTTTCAAATATATAATTCGTACAAAAAAGCATGATACACACATTATTTCGGACCAAAAAAAGAAAAATCAATATCATTTATACTAAAGAATTAAAATTAACTTTGACAACCCCTAATAAAGATACATGCATTGCATACATACATAGATACATGTCATGCACGCATGTAAAATCAGACTAGAACCGCTGTTTAGTTTAACACTTTAACTATGACCGGATATTATGGTTTATTTGGTCAAATATATAAATCTATAAATATCCGCCACCTTGAGATCCCTTTAGACATTAATTATAAATATCCGCATGGATTCTGCTCCACATTCGGCTCAGTGAATCGGATCAGAGAATTTGTGTCATCTCTGTCCATCTTCCCTCCCTCAATGCCGATGCCGGAGACTGCCGAAGACGCCACCGCTCCTCCTCCTCCTCCGCCGTCTCCGCCGCGGCGAAGGCGGCGTCAGGGGGCAAAGATCATTCGCCTGATAATCTCCGTCGCCATCGGTCTCATTCTTTGCTTTGCCGTTCCTAAACCTAAGGCTGTCACTTCTCAAGGATGGCGGTTGCTATCGATCTTCCTCTCCACCATTGCCGGTCTCGTCCTCAGCCCTCTTCCCGTCGGCGCGTGGGCTTTCATCGGCCTCACCACCTCGATTGTCAGTCGGACCCTTCCGTTCGCCGCCGCGTTCTCGGCGTTCTTGAATGAGGTCATATGGCTGATCGTGATTTCCTTCTTCTTTGCTCGTGGGTTCGTCAAGACAGGTCTCGGAGACAGAATCGCCACTTACTTCGTGAAGTGGCTCGGTAAGAACACTCTCGGTCTGTCTTATGGGCTGATTCTAAGCGAAGCCGTAATTTCTCCGGCGATGCCCAGCTCGACGGCGAGGGCCGGAGGCATTTTCTTGCCGATCATCAAGTCATTGTCGATCTCGGCCGGGAGTAAACCAGGTGATTCGTCCTCCAGGAAATTGGGTTCTTACTTGATCCAGTCTCAGTTTCAGGTTAGTGTTTTGTTTATGCCACTGCTGATTTCATCAGTCAGATTCACAAAGTTTCTGTCTTAAATCTGTTGGCTTTCGATGATGAATTGGGTGTTCTGAGTTTGATCTAACTGGAACTGGAACTTGATAGGTCTGAATGGGTACGCATGCATGTACAGTGTCTGTCTGATGATTGCTCAGAGACATAGAGAGTTTGCAGTTAGCAGTTTGGGTGCAAGCTGTGTCTTTTAGTCTTGGTTTTGGATCCATTGCTTATATATTTTCTAAGAATTCGATCTTTATGATATTCTAACGAGTTAACAATCGATTCAATATGTAAAAACTTGTTCTTGAGTGTTTGGTGTAAAATTCCCAATCTTTAACCGGTCAAGATTTCCTCGATCGGACATTTTTTTCTTAGTTTTTTTTCCCTGTGTGATTCTTGACAGTGTGCCTGCAACTCCAGTGCCCTTTTCTTGACTGCTGCTGCTCAAAATCTGCTGTGCCTCAAACTGGCCGAGGAGCTCGGAGTAGCGATCTCAAGCCAGTGGCTGGCTTGGTTTAAGGCAGCCTGTTTGCCTGGAATCATATCCCTTCTCTGCACTCCGGTAATACTGTACAAGCTCTACCCTCCGGAAATCAAACACACACCCGATGCCCCCGTCATCGCAGCAAAGAAGCTCGAGGAGATGGGTTCTATCAGAAGAAACGAGTGGATCTTGGTCGGTACAATGCTTCTTTCTATCTCCCTCTGGATTTCCGGGTAAGTCTTTTCAAGATTTCTCCTTTTCCTGTCTCAGGATGCCTTAAACTTACCGGAGCCCTCCAAAGATATATGTGTATTGCCCTCAAAGTTTGTATCTTGGCAGAGATTACATCGGAATACCGAGCGTTGTAACCGCCATGATCGGGCTGTCCCTACTTCTTCTTCTGGGCGTCCTCGAGTGGGAAGATTGCCTCAAAGAAAAATCGGCATGGGACACGCTGATTTGGTTTGCGGTATTGGTGGGGCTGGCAGGACAATTGACACAGCTCGGTGTAGTGAAGTGGATATCGGATTCCGTGGCTAGTTTCCTCAAATCCATCTCCTTGGGCTGGCCTGCCGCCTTCGCCATCCTCCAAGCCGCTTATTTCTTCATCCATTACCTCTTCGCCAGCCAAACCGGGCATGTCGGGGCTCTATACTCGGCTTTCCTCGCAATGCATCTGGCGGCCCGTGTCCCGCCGACGCTCGCGACCTTTGCTTTAGCTTTCAACACCAATCTTTTTGGGGCCTTGACGCATTACAGTAGCGGCCAAGCCGCTGTTTACTACGGAGGTACTTAGCCGCTACCCTTTTTTTTTTCGAGCTCAACGCATCGTGTATGTGACGTAGTAACGGTACTGACGTGAGCTTCGTTTTCGGGCAGCGGATTACGTTAAACTGCCGGATGTGTTCAAGATTGGATTGGTGATGGCGTTGATCAACATATTCATCTGGGCAGCGGTGGGGATGGCATGGTGGAAGATCTTGGGACTCTACTGATATTTTGACGAGATGGCATTTTGATCGAACCTGTCATTTCAGTCTTCTAGGGTTTCTAGTCACGAGATCGGTCGGAATTTGTTGGCGTTGTTCCTTCTGCGCTTTCTGAAACAAAAATAAACTTCTTTTGCCCGAAAGAGAAAGCAGTTCCGAGTAGTTCTCGTCCAAATGATTGTAACGACAAAAGTATGGGGTACCAAAGAGGAAAGCCGATGAATAATGTCATCATCATCATCATCATCATCATCATCATCATCATCATCATCATCATCGAGAGCTCTTCCATCATGGATTGATTGTATGAAGTACTTGTGGATATTTGGGTATTCGATTAAAAAAGTTCCCCCGTAATTGTTCTGCTCAATTCTTTCGATTCTATAAAAATATGTATCAATCATTATATTACATTCGGTTTTAGTTTGGTTTAGGTTTTTATTCATAACAAAAATTATATTTCCTTAAAAAATTATTGCGATGTTGGTTTTTTTTTTTTTTTTTTTTTTATAATTTGGTTTTGGAAAGTTTTGTTCTCTAAAACATATCCTTTGGAAAATTTTGGACGGAATAATTCGAAACCGTATCAAAATTATTTGATTCGGTACGGTTCAATTTTGAAAAACTGTCACCTAAACCGTAATTATTACCGGTTAAAGTGACTGATTAAACATAGGTAGCTTATTTTAAAGAATAATATGTGCTATTTGATCTACTAATGAAATATTAATAAGAAATCCATCTTTACTAATTCATCTTTTTTCGTCTGGATGGTTGATTTTTTTTTTAATTGTAAAGTACGTCCGGTAACCAAATTAATGTGCATGTTGTTTGTCTATTGGTATCGGTAAACGTTTCATTTTCGATTTGGCTTTGAGTTTTTAAGTTTTAGAAATATTATATATTTATTCAATTTTTTTATTGAATTTTTGTTAGAATATTCTATTCGGATTATGTTTTCAATACAAATAATATTGATTTTCTAAAGATATTTCCATTTTTATTTGGAGCAAAACTTTTTGGTTCAACTATATCGGTTGCATTCTTTGATTCGGTTATATAAAATTGAATCGAATAATACATTACAAAACTAATTGAATATAAAAAACTAAATTATTAAATTTTTTAGAATTGGAAAAACAATTCAAATATAAAATAATCGAAAAAGTTAAAAAATATAAATTTTGTTTAAAAAATAAATATTTTTATAAAATCGAATTTGATCTGAACAGAAAAATCTGTGCAAAAACGAATAGAATTTAAAATAAAAAATAATTTTTCTAAAATTTTTAAAATAAACTTGAATCTTTCCTGAAACAATATGGTATTTAAATATTAATAATTTATATAAAATGTTAATTTGAATAATTTTAGAGGAATATGCCCCATTTTAAGTTATATTGTGGTGCGGGGATATTGTTTGCCGAGCACCTGTGAGCCGCGGATTCAACCGGGAATATTATTCAAATAACCCACTTGGCTCACAGTAATCACAGTAATTTTAGTGTACACCACCGATTTTTTTTTTCTTCAATTTTAACCCAATTCTCGGTTGAAAAAGTCTGAAATACCCTTTTTGTTTTATTTTTTGCGACCTTATTACGACTAACATATAACTCATATACAACTAAAATAAGACAGATAATTTTTTTCCCATCTTTTTTAGAATCAATTGTAACTATATTTAGAATTAATTACGAAGTCGTAATAACGAAATTGTTTTCGAACGGATAAAAATCGTGTATTTATTAAGGATAATTTCGTCTTTTCAATAAAAAAAAAGTATTATGTTTTTTCTGGTGTATGAAATAGGTGTGAGCAAATGGGTCATTTGAGTAAAATTCCCGACTCAACCCTCGTTAGGGTTTGTACAACGTTTCTCGTCATCTTCATCTCCGTGATTTCATCTCGGATTCTGGTTTGAGCCGGACACTGACCAGTTCCGTCGTCGGAAACTCTCTCCGGCGTTTTTCCAGCGATCCAAACCCATTCAGCCTATTCGCTATCTAAAGGTATGTGAGCCTTCGATTTGTTGCTTTCGTCGGATCTGGGAATTTGTGGGCTGGATTCGTTTTCGAATTCGGTTCATGTGTGTGTGGATGGGTTGCTTATCAGGTTCGATTCATCTCATCATCTTTGAACTGTTCTTTCATGGCTTCGGCGAAGGAAATCGATGATGCTGATGCATCGGAAACTTCCTCCTCGTGAGTGTCTCTTCTACTCTTGAATTTTTGGGGCTTAGAGTTGGAATCCACTTGTCTCTGTTGATTATGTCTGAAATTGTATCCTATCCTCGTGATCATGTCAGGCCAAAGAAAACTTACAAGGATCCAGATGGTGGGAAGCAAAGGTTCTTACTTGAGCTTGAATTCGTTCAGTGCCTTGCTAACCCAACATACATCCACTGTAAGATCCTTGTAAATTTTGTCGCATCTAGCTTGGTTTCTGGGTCTTTCTGGAGGGTTTGGAATTCAAACTATGATCTAATTCGTTCTCCCCATTTCCTAATGAGCTGAAAAACTTTACAATCTCCTATGTGTCTGGTAGAATCGTGAAAATGCAAAAGTATCTTGGCAATGAGGCAAGTAGAGAATCAATTGTGTTTTGTGAAATGAATGGCTCGAACCTTTTAACTAGATTCATGGTTTTTCTTAAGAAACAAATGACAATGTCTCACCGGCTTCTTATTCATATAATTCTCTTTGATGGAATTTTTTTAGTGTAGTCATACTATTAAGTGCAAGATTGGATGAAAATCTCTATCCCTCAAGTCATGCTGTGTCTTGAATGCAAGATGTTCTAGTTAATTTTTCTTATCCAATGTCTGGACTCTAGAGCAGTGAATACACTTAATAGGCTATCTTGGGATTTGACGCTTGGGTTATAAAATCCCTTTAGGGCTTGCATCTCCCTGGAGGGTGAAAGTTATTGACCTAACTTACCTGTCACTTGTGTCTTGTGCACGTTGGAACACTGCAAATGTTATAATCTCTTTTTGCATAGCGAGTAGTTCGTGATTACTAAGTTTTTTTTTTTGCAATGTTATGCTTAGCTGTGTGGCTCTTCTCCATGCTTTATGTCTTATCTGGCCCTTATGCAGACCTGGCTCAGAATCGGTATTTTGAAGATGAAGCCTTTATTGGCTATTTGAAGTATCTTCAATATTGGCAGCGGCCAGAGTATATCAAATTCATTATGTAAGTGAAATCTTTCACTGAATCATGCTAATGGACTGTTGCAGGTATCTTTATCATTCTTCTACTTGTTCTATCCATTCGGTTATTTTCTTGTATTAACGAACTGTTGCAGGTATCCGCACTGCTTGTATTTCCTCGAACTTCTTCAAAATCCCAACTTCCGGAGTGCAATGGCACATCCTGCAAACAAGGTTCACTCTCTCCCTCGAGACATGTCGATGGGTATACATAATTCCATATTTCTTGACTGTTTCTTGAACTTTCAACTCGGTTTTTGTCAGGAACTGGCTCATAGACAACAGTTTTATTACTGGAAGAACTACAGGAACAACCGGCTGAAGCACATATTACCACGGCCTCTTCCAGAGCCTACACCTCCGTTACCAGCTGTAGGTTCCCTGCCGCCGGCACCACCTGCTCCACCCGCCCCGTCTGCAACATCGGCTGG